AAAAGTAGGTCAGTTCAAAGCTGTAAGGAAAGCTTAAAATAGGAAAATTTACAATATTAGCAATAATTTCCTCTTTTAATACCTCAGCTCTGCCTCCATGCTGAGGCCTCCACATGTCTGTGTGTCTAAGCACAGCCAAAGGCTGCACCCATATGGAAATATACCTCAGTGTCTTCACAAAGAGTTGAACATTCCTTTGTGCATTTAGTAATATTTCACGTTCAATATCCACACACAGCTGACAAATTCTAACTATGCACTTCTATTAAAATGGAGAGGCTGATATGCAGTATGGTGATGAACTTATAGATATATTTACAAATGAAATGACTGATTGTGATCACAGAGAGAAACACGTCTACCATTCATGCCATGATTCAGTGCATGTCACAAAAAAGTGACAAAAAGTGTAACAAATGTTCTTGTGAGGAGTAACTCATGGCTTACAGTTGATAGATCTTTTGCAGTGTTTTGAAGTTACAGGCTTTCACAAACTTTCTGAGAATACTCTCGGAGCACTCCGATCTTCGCCTAAAACCTTTTTGTAGGGGGGGATTAGCTTAGGAGTGATTTAGTAAAGTTCTCAGAGCAACTCTGAGCAAGGAAGGGACAGAAACTTTTACTTTAGTAGGGTTGTGTGGCTGACCCCGTTGCTAGGTATGACATATTCTTTTAACAGATGTCATTGGTTGTCACAGACATGCTGCTTTGTGAGCCTGTGTGGATACCCAGTGGAAATGAAATGAACTGCATCACAATATGAGACTGAAAGTGTTGTTATTGTTAGTGTGGTCACTGCTAAGGGAAGGTTGAAACAGACAAAAGTCATCGCTGCTGCACTGTTGCATTTTTCCAGTTTTAAAAGTACATTAGTGTTGTGATCATTTTATTTCTGGCGTTATAGCATTATTTTGTTGGGTGGGAAATGTTTGCATATCCCTAATTAGATCATCCACAAATATTCTCCCTGCACAATCTCATCTGTAGCATTTAATTTATTCACTGTCATTCTGTGTTTAGAGACTATTTCTCCTACCTCTTTGTGTTTCCACCATTTTCTCCTCTGCATAAGAAACTCTTAAGTTTCTGAAAAGTCCTCCTTTCTACTCCTAACATTTTTTCACCTTAGGAGCCAACTTAAGGTCTAAGATGCTTTGTGAATAACTTTTATCTTTACAAGGACCTAGTCTTTTTCTTAGAATTTCATCACTAGGAGCAACTCTTAGCACTAGGGAGCTTTGTGAATTTGGCCTTGATGGTCTTGAACCAAAATCTCAACAACCCACACTACCATTTTATAGCCCTATGATCTTACTAAAGGAGCACAAAAATATTTGCACTTTGACCTTTACAAATAAGTCTGGAGAGTAACACCACAAACTGTAAAAAGAAAGGAATGAATCCTTCGTGAAGACACAGCAGTGAACATATTTTCATATACCTCCCATTAGATATGTATAAAATCATTGCTTAGATATATTTAATATTCAATTTTGACCTTTTCAATATTTGTATATTCAAGTTATTAAATATAATAAATTACTACAATGAAACTGATTACAACCTAAGTAAATATGTAGACAACAAGTACTGGAAAAAAAGCCAAAGATTTTTATTGGATCTATCAGACTGTGTATGCAATTATAGGTTTTATTTTCAATAAAATGTGTCATATTTCCATTTGGGAAAATCAGCTTGACTACCATTGCTGTCCTGGACAAACAGCCGAGAAAGTGTTGCAATCTAAGGTGCATCTTCCACAGATCCAACGTGCAAACTAATACTGCAGCTAACAGCAAAGGAATGGCACAGTGCACACACACACACACACACACACACACACACACACACACACACAGAATTCATGGAATTCAGCCAATGTTCACCACCACAAATAATAACTATTGTACGCAGGACTTGAGAGTTGGAGGCATAGATGTTAAGAAACAGTAAAAGAGTCCAAATGCACCACAAACTATGTGCAAAGGAGAGCGATACTCTGAAGGCTACACAAGCATCAATCTGTTGTTGGAACTCCAGGGGCCCATTGCACAAAAGTAGGATTCAGACATACAGGATAAATGACTGAGCTGGGTTCAACGAATCCAAAACAAGAGCGTCCAGGCTTAATTGGTTGCACAAAGACCAAGCCAGGATGAGCAGACACGGATTCATCAAGCCAGGTGAAACCAATCCTGGATCAGTGCGCGCACGTGGCTTCCTCAAATAGACCCCGCCATCGACCACAGATTCACCGATTAACCATGGCAACAAGAGCGGCGTACTTTTCCCCGTCGGAGGCAGAAATCCTCATGGAGGCTTACAAAGAGGTAAAGGATCAAATCAAAAAGGAAGGCAACACCGCCGCAGACAACGAGAGAAAGTGTGGCAAAGTATTGCAGACCGCCTGAATGCGTAAGTAGAGCACAAATACACACTCACTGCTCCGCTGAAACCATCACAATTACAGTCCAAATAGTTAATTAACATCTCTGAAAACATAGTTGTACTCTGATTATGAATCAGTTGAAACTGTAAGTGAAATTGACTGCAGATGTGAGTGAAATTGTGTAAATGTAATTCCATCAGACTGTATAACTCTTTGATAAATAGATGAGCTCACTGACTTAATTGAATTTCCCTTTGGGATAAACAAAGCTCCTCTTATCTTATCTTATCTTATCTTATCTTATGTTTGCTCCTCATTATATACAGTCAGGTCCATAATTATTTGGACAATGATACAGTTGTCATCATTTTGGCTCTGTACACCACCACAATTGGTTTTAAATGAAACAATGAATACCTGCTTAAAGTGCAGACTCTCAGCTTTCATTTAAGGCTTTTTTCAAAAATGTAGTATGAACCGTGTAGGAATTACAACCATTTCTTCACACAGTCCCCCGACTTTAAGGGCTCATAAGTATTTGGACAAA